ACCTGCGCAGACCGACGACCTGACCACCCCCCCTCAGGTCATAATTCTGGAAGCCTCATATTTTCCAAGCATCCCAAAAGTCACACGCCTGCCAGTGTTTTGTGACTTCCGCCTTCGCTAGAAAAATGGCTGCCGCAGAAACCTAGGGGTTTGCCCGACCCTAAACCCACCCCCCTAAATTCAACCTTACCCGTTCTGCGAGCTCTACAGATCTGCCTTAGCTCTCTGGCAGGCACATTGCGAGAACTCTGGGACATCGTTTCACCGTTCTGTCACCTCCTTGAGGTGGGGGGGGGTTGAGGGTTTAGGGTTGAGGTTAAAGGTTCAGGCTCTTGCAGGTCTTCAGTGGGCCACATCAACATCTCAATAGAAGCATTTCTTAGCACTCTACGTACATCTGCCTAAACGCACTTCATCCCGCAGCGATGCCCAACTTGTAACACCCAATGGTGGCTTTTGGGGTGCGGTGGGAGCTTTCGCGTGAAGTGGGAATCTTATGCTTCAAAAACCTGCTGGCTATAAGGCCTCCCCTTGCCATGGCTTTCAGTACAACGCCACCCCAAAGACTTTGCCAGTTTACGCTTCAACCTTCACCAAGACACTTCAGCCAGGGACTGCATCCATTTGCACTGTCTTTATGTCTGATGCGGGTCATGGTTTAAGGAGCGGTTTGAAGTTGGGCTTTGTTTCCAGGACATCGTGTTTGCTCTCAGTGACGCTACCCCTTGAACATCCCTCACATCCTGCCAGGAAGGTTTGAAGAGTTGAAAACTTGAGGCTCCTGATCTGAGACTGCAGTGGGATTCCTGGCCGTTACGCTTCTGACATGGAAGGTGTTCCTGACAGGGGCTACGCCTCTTGCTTGGAAATTTCTGCACTCAAATAGAATCATGGCAGTTGCAAGAGAAGCGCTCACGTGTCAGTTGGATTCGAGTTGCATATGTGTGTGCGAAAATCAAGTAGGTGTGGTCTCTCGGCTCATAGATGCATTCATGAGCGCTAATGTGGAAGCGTGAATAAGGAGGAAGATGATTCCTTCTTCATCCTGCAAGAATTATTGTGCAATATGTTGAATCGCCTGGTCTGCTAGCTGACTCCCAGTTTTGGAATGTTTTGGACAAACAAATCTTCTCCGGAGGACCCCCACTCGGAGGTTCATGGGCCGTTGAACGGCAGTTGTAATTAGGGTTATGTAAGCTTGCCCACAAAAAGGTCATAGGCAGTCACAACCAGTGCCATCGCCCCTTTACCCGCAGTTATAGCTACTGATGGCCCTTCAGGCCTTATACATCAAACCCTACAAGCCAAACCCCACTTGGTAGTTTCCATAAAGAGAGCGACCCACATGTAGATCCCCAAAGACTATAATCCTCATCATGGGGACGACCACAACCCTAATTTTGGGAAACATGGATTTTGGCGGCTATGGTCATGAGTTATGAGTCTGATTTGACCGCGCTTTTACTCGGGAAATACCTCTGTCCGAATCTACGCTTTGAGGGATAACAGCTCCACATTTTTGGTATGTGAATGCGCAGGTGCATGTATATGTGTACACATGTGTACGTGTTATGTATCAGGAAATGTGTAAGTAGTAGCTAGATGTGTATGTGTATATGATATTTACATATATGTATATGTGAGGTATCAGGAAATCTGCTCAGCATGATTCGCAGGTCTTGATTCTCTCTGTTGACCAGCTTTGCGGTCTGGCAGAGATCCTTCTGCGGGACTGTGCGACGGTAATGGGCTAGGGATTCTCCCCTAAACCCTAAATCCCTAGACCCTAAACCCGAAACCCCAAACCTTGGGTTGTTCAGCTGGTTAGGGAGGCTATAGAGCTTGGCAGGATCAAAGGGGTGTAGGGAGTGCAGGAGTTCGGGCTGTGTGTTCTGGACTCTCGGCTTCAAGGGCTAGTGTGTAGGATGTCGGGTTCAAAGGCTTATACTCTCAGGGGTAATCACGCTATATACCCCTATATATATATGATATATATATATACAGATGCACATGCATATGTATATATATATATATGTATATGTATAAACCTTAAACTCAACCCGACACCCTAAACCAGTGAGTTTGTGTGGGACCTCAATCCTTCTTCACCACGACTCAATCTGTTAGGCCCTGCATGCCGTGTCAGGAGCGGGGTATTGGGTCCTTGGAAGCGTTTTTATGCTCTGGGGCCCCATTCTCCAAAAGGCTGCAGCTCCAATACTGATGTGGGTGGCGGCCCCTATTTTTTCCATATAGGAGGCCAACAAGCAACCCGCGCGACGGGGCGGGGAAATGCATCTTAGGGTTTGGACTAGAGAAGGCTTAGGGTCCCTGATCATGCTGCTCAGATGGTACCTACAACCACGCCGTCTTTCCTTCCCCACGATGCACCAGCAATCATATTTCTACCTAAATTCTGTGGCAAGTTGTCAGGATTGATGCTCTGAGGCTTGAGCCTCGGACAGAAGAAACCATGCGCTCTCTAGAGGGAGGGAATCCCTTGAAGATGCCAAAGCCGTCAATCAATGCTTCAAGCTCCTAGCCACCCAACGCCGTGCAAGAACCCAAACTCTCCCGGGGTTGAGGGTTCAGCATCATTACCTCCTGAGATTTGTGCATAGGAGACAGAGATCTACGGATGTGACGAGAAGTATGCACCTGGAACGGCGTTTCAGCGTGAGTTCTTCAACTGCTGTTTGCAAGGATCGGTGTGTAGAATCAGCCATGGACATAAGTCAGAGCAGTCATGCGAGTGTCAACACGCCATTCAGGAAACACTCTTACAGAAGCGAGGCCAGAGGTAAGTAACTCTGATGACTGGTAGACGTGCGACGTTCAACAAGTGCAGTCTTCATAGTCAGGCTCATGGTATACTAGGCCATGCATTGGAGAATCCCATATATCAGCGTTCCCTGAGAACTTGACGATGACTCAAGGTGACCTGTATGTCGCTTGGTATTTTGATGCAGAACCATTGCAACCAGCGGCGCAGCCCTACCCGCAAACCTTGCTCAGGCTTAGTTCGGAACGGGGGAATGGATCCATACGGCAACCCCTATTTAGTATCTAACCCCCATAATGCTGCCTGAAACCCATTCCCCATACCCCACTAAGCATGAGTAAGAGAAACTGAGCAGGTGACGGTGATGAGGAAGCTGCATCGGATCTGGAAGTGCAAGCGCCTGGCAGTGTGCCGCAAGGACACAGCAGAACAGAGCCACGCGGTTGAGGGAGCACCAGATATCATGTTGAACATCACCTCCCCCCGAGACTCCCTCCAACAATGAATATGTGAATATTCCCCCAACACATATGGTACCACATTGGGATTCCAACAGGTGAGGTCCGTTGATGGCCGGGGGGAAGGAATTAATTATGTGAGTAGTTTCCACATTGAAAATTCGGCTCCCATTTTGGGCCCCCTAAGTATTTGGTGCCGGAATATAACCCATAACTAAAAGAGGCGCATAAATTTGAGAAGAACCCGTGTATGGGCACGAAAGCCGAAGGCTTCCCCCGCAAAATGCTAAGCGAGCAAATCGTTTTGCCTTCGGGCCTTCGTGAACTGAGAGGGTACCTCAAGGATTTTAATTTGGAGATTAGGGTAGGGCTCAGAGGACCTTTCTGACTCCTGCGGGCAGGTCATCAAGTTCCTAGAAGAAGCCAGCTGCATGCGCGACGGGTCGCTGTGTATGATTGTGGAAGTTTGCACAGTCCAAAAAGGCTAGCACATAGAAGTCTAGGAAGCAACCTGTGCGTTGCACAAGTTGTACGTGTCTTCAGCACCATACATCAACCTCAACAATCGCATTTGATTGCCAAGGAAGGTTTTGTTTGGCCCTCACCTTTTTAGGAAGCTACTCTGGGTCGATGATCGCCCCTTACCTTACATATTTGTTTCTGCCAAAGGAGGAAGATGGCAGCGGCACTCAGCGACGATTCTTGGCGGCTTCTTGAGGTTCGCTATACCCTCATTACCCAGACCCCCTAGAGGATCCAAAAAACGGAACCCCTTAATAATCCCCTAGTTTCCCCAATGTAGTAATGGGTTCATATTGGGGGTCTTCCATTTTTTGGATATCTTAGGGGGTCCGGGTAGCTGAGAGGGGAACCGAGAGCTGAACGGGGTTTACAGAATCTTGCCATAATGGACTGGGATGACTCTTTGTGGTCCAGGAACATCACCCGCTGGGTACGTGCTCACAGCTTTGCAGTCCAAAGCTTCTATGTAGTGGCTTCCCTAAATAGGGGGATCCCAAAATAGACCCCAACATGCTCTAATCCTTATAACGGGGACCCCCGAAAAGGCACCCCTAATTTTGGGAACCCCCCTTGGTCCCTCGCCAGAATGTGGCACACTGTACTAACCCACGAAGGCCGCTCAGCCAAGTGGAGACTGCAGCACCCATCATGTCAAACGTTTCCAGGCGCTCAAGCTTACTTACTGGGTGTTAGTAGGGAAGGGCTTGGTAAGCCCTAAACCCCAAACCCTGAACACTAGACCGACAGTTCCGGAGCGTGCCCAGGATGGAGCTACGTGACAGAGCTTAAGACCTGTGATGCAGGCTTCTTGGATGCGCAGGGAATTCTCAAGAACTGGGTGCTTGCAGAAAGTAGCGATTCTTGTTTGGGGAGCCCCCAGAAGGTGGATAGCTTTTTCAGCGTTGCAGTTTTGGGGCGCCCCGACTGTTGCCAGACAACGAGTTTGAGAACTCTTGGAGCCTAAACCCTAAGACCCCTAAAGCCCTAAACCATAAATAACCCTCAAACAAAAAACCCCTAAACCCATCCGAAATTCCTAAACCCTAAACCCCAACACTCTCAACCCCTAAATTCCTAATCCAAAGCCCTAAACCCCAAACCAAGCCCAGTCCCTGATCCCTGCGCTGCACTTTGGCAATGCTTTTTTTGTTGCAACGGGTGCTGCTTGGATGTGGGCATCTAAGCGGTGGTTCACCCCTTCCCTCTTACAGCCAATTGCAATAAACCCTAAGAAGTATAGCCCTAAACCCTAAGACTAAACCCTAAACCCTATAAACCCTAACCATAGAACATCTGTCCCATTTCACCAGGGCTGCTTGGCCCAAGGTCTTGAGACAACCCTGACGAGCACGAAGGAAATACCAGTTCTGCACGTGCCCAAGGACGCATCTTCTGTGTGGTCTTCGGGAAATCATGGAGGCACTAACTCTAAACCCTAAAAAACTAAACCCTAAACCCTCAAAAACTAAAACCTCACCCCTAACCCAAAAACATAACCCTAAACCCTAAACGGGGGTCTTGAAGGGATTCCAGGGGTGGATGTTGGCTCGGGGTGACGGCCTCTGAAACTGGCTGACATTTTGGAGTGGGTCTGTTGAAAGCATCGGGTGTCTTCGGAATCATGAAGCTCGCTTCATACAAAGCCAAGGGAGTGGAGAGTTCCTGAAGTGTCTGAAAATTTCAAATCAAGGATCCGAAGTGTCTGAAAATTTCAAATCAAGGATCCGAAGACTACACCTTCACTCCCCCTAGCCTGAACTGGAAACCCTAGCGCTCCCTGTGAACTAACATAACCCTCTACGAGCCGCAATTTGGCATTCCATGCTAGTTTCGGGGGGTTGAACCCCTGAACCCCTAAACCCTAGGCGGCTGGAGCCCCTCTTAAAACCCTAAACCCTCAAACCCTCAGCCCCCAAACCCTAAGCTATTCATCCCTTCACCCCAACCCCTAAATCCTAAACCCTAGACCTTTAGGGGCCTCCAAAACATTGTTGTATTTTTTGGGCTTTATAACCCTAATAACAACCAAAACATACATTTTTTAGTGGGATTCTGAGGCCAGTTTAGAAACTCTAAGCCCGTAAACCAAGCAGGACCCCTGTGGAGGAGGCAGTGCTTGGGCTGCTGGGCTTCTCCACGCCCTTCACATCGAGGCCCTCCCGGGAAAAGGGATTTTAGGGATTTCCCTAAGGGTCCAAGTGCCCAATGTTTAGGTACGTGGGATTTGGGTAATAGTAAGTATAGTACAGGGTTTGGGGAAGTAGAATGATTTTCAGGTAATTCTGCTGCATTAGGGGTCTGGGGATTTAGGGATTTAGGATCGAGGGGTTGTGGGTTTGAAAGATTGTTCAGGCTTTTAGGGGTTAGGGATTTAAGGAAGTATGGCGGGTGTGGGGATATAAGATTGACAAGTCCGGGCTTAGGGGTTCAAGGGCTTTGCGTCGATGAGGCTTCTGAAGGGAGATTGTATACTAGACGTTTCTGTAGAAGCTTCATGGCGCTTCTCTTTGATGTATTGAGTTCTTACTGCCTAGAATCCAAGGAGCGCAGGTTTAGTCTCATGGCACCTAAGGGCTTATAGCAGGTTTCTAGTGCGCATAGGCCTACACCGGCGGGCGCGGGTATGTGGATCAACAACCTATGTGATCTATCCCCAGCCAGGGCGTTCTTTCGATCAATCATGGTGAGGACAGTAGACGTACCCGACCCTGCGGTAGCCAACAAGCAGGGTTCACTATGTAGACTTAGAAAAAGGCTGTCGGAAGAGTAGCCCTAGCGTTCACAACGTGCCATCCTAATGCCAGAGCCTACTCCCAACATCCTCCCCCGACACTAACAGCAACTTGCCCTCAGCAACCTCCAGAACTCCCATTTATACCCCGATATATATATATATACATACGTACATATATATATATATAGAGATCGCAGTTTCCATTTCATTTTCCATTTTATTCTCCATTATTGGGGTATATCTAACCCCCTTTCAGGAGTTCACCCTAAACCCTAAACGTATAACTTAGAACCGCCATGCAGGAGTTCTGCTTGGCCAGCGCTTTGCGTCGAGCCGATTTGCTGTCAGCCCTCTGCCAGAACACGCCAGGTGACTTCTCCCAGGCTTCTTGGGTCAAATGATCTCCCTTAGCGTTTAGAGCTTAGGGTTTAGGAGTATACGCACCCACAGGGTTTAGCGCTGAGGGTAGGCATCAGATACCACAGGCAACAGAGTTCGCGAAAGTACTAAGTTACTAAGCTCAAAACACATCTTAAAACTTAGACTAGATTGTAATCCTTCCCCTAAACCCAAATCCCCAAACTCAAGAGCTTGTGCCTAATCCCCTTAAAGCCCTACACATTAGGGAAAATCCCAAGTTATAGCAAGGTAATATCCTGTACTTACCACTGCGCATGACACAAGCCTTTCGTGAAATTCCTACCTTCCCTGGGCCCCTAAGGGCCCAAACCCTTCAAACCCCAAACCCATTCACCCCGAACCCCTTAACCCCAAACCCCTCAAACCCTAAGCCCCCAAACCCCATGCCTCCAACCCCAAACCATCCCAAACTCCTAAACCCTAAGCCCCAACACTCTCAACCCCTAAATCCCTAATCCTAAGCCCTAAA